GGCCCTGTTTTTGGCTCCCGCCACCGCTCAGCCTCCTGTCCTCAGGCCGGTTCCCACGACCTGCTGCACTTCCTGCGACTCACGGCCAGTGGACGCGATGGCGGAAGAGCTGCGATCCATGTGGAACGAGCGCCAAGGGCAGCCAAGAGCCGGCCCCAGCCTGGGAACGGCCTCTGTGCGGAGTTCCCCCCAGGGCTGCCACCTCCGGCCGGCACACCTGGGGCAGGATCTGCTCACGACCCTGAATTGATCCGTCTCCTACCCAACTTGCCTGCGGGTGCCCTGGGAGAGCAGGGACGCGGGACTGCACCCGCTAGGAGCATGGATTAGGACAAAGAAGACTCGAGGCTGCTCTGACCTCAGGTAGTTTCTCTTGGGCATCCAGAGCAGAGCTGATCTCCAAGCAGAGCTGCTACATGACATTTTGCAAAACTGCAGGTTTGCTGCGTTTCGCAGGGGCTAACAGCCTCTGCACCGCCTGCGATGGAGCAAGGCCGCCGAGCAGGCGCCCTGCGTGGTGTGTGCTGTGTGCAAGGTTTCCAGCGCTGGCTCCAGCCCAAACCCGCTTCCTCTCGCTCCTGAAGCACAGGCTGAAGGGGGCACTCCAGGAGGCGGATGCTGGTGCCGCTGGTCTTGCACAAACACGTCAGCCGTTCCCATCCTTACTTCCAGGGACGTGCAGGAGGAGATAGGGAGCAGTCAGGCTCAGACCCTGTAGCAGAGGTCTATTTGCACGCAGCAGATTAGCTGCTCTTGGCAACTGTCTTAGAAATGTTCCTTGCTGCTGCTGAGGCAACATACAGCAAGGTATAGCCACCTGAAACTCAAATCCAAAGGATCCAAGCTGCAGCTTCCCCTTGGACAGACTTCATCAGTCCCTTCCGTAGTATGGCATGCTCTTCTACCAGCTAGTATTGTCTGTCCTGAGGCTATTAAGCTGTTTCCAGGGGGTGTAATTCCTTTATCCATACACTAAGGACACATGTGAGCTCCAGCCAGGAGTAGCGCCATGAGTACATGGTGGCATGTAGCTTTTAGTACAGTATTTGGGAATGTCCCTCTCAGCACATCCTCCATGTAGGTATCTTGTGTAGCTCTTCATCAGCATTTTCAGGGATTACAGATGAGCTGGTCATGAATCCATTACTTACCCATTCAATGGGCATGTTCTCAAGCTCCTTCTTGCATCTGTCACACAACATTTACACTCCATCTTTCCCGAGCTCAGGTTTTCTTGGCAGCTAGAGAGAGAGCCCCAAGGACTGCAGGTTGCCGCCATAAAAGAAGACAATGGCCCTGCGCCTGATTTGGGTCACCCCTCTGAAGGAAAGAAGTCTTTGGAAATATTGTCTAGCTGTGGGCTCTTGAAGAAAAGGTATTTGGTTTCTCAAGACTCTTCTAAGTGGCTGAGGCCCCAGGATGAATCCAGCCAGAATCACCTGCAAAACAAAGGTGTTTCTGCCCCAAATCCTGAGCAAAGCTGGTCAGAGCCCAGAGAGGCCCTTTTCCTGTTTCTTCCTCACTTCTTTCCTCTCTCCATTCATTGTGCAAAGCTTTGTTCAAACAGCATTTCCCTGGAGCAAGGAGAACTGCAAGGTAATCACTATGAAAGTTTTGGCATCTGAACATGTTCTGGGCTGAAAAATCCTCACCAGTTTTCCATTCCTATTACAACAATGCTAGAAAACAATGTGCAGCACACACCCCTGCAGAGAACCTGTGAGCGAGAGCGCTCACACGAGACAGGGCCGGCGCTGCGCGTTGGACGGATGCAGGCAGAGGCACACACGAACGTCACTTCAGACGCCCACGAATATTCGTGGGCGCTCTTCAAACAGAGGCAACGCGCTGGAGATCAGCCTCTCCCCCTTCATGGGCACGCAAAGCCTTTCCATCTGTATTTCTGTCTCTTCCACGTGCACACATCCCACCCCACTTGCTACCTCCACGCAGTAATAACCCCCAAAAGGGAGTGCAGTTGCATTGGCAAGGAAAAAAACAGCCACGTATCTATCATAAAAGGAAAGTACATGAGAACCACAGATTTTACTTCCTTTCTATCACCTACAGGTGATCTAACTTTTCACTAAGGCTAGGCATTTTTGAGTCTTTGGAAGATAGTGCAGGCCTTGGTTGTAAAAGAGTTCACGGCATTTTTCTCATTCTTATCAGACACTGCAAAGTTAAACTTTCAACTCATGCAGAATACAAGACATATCTCCCTCCCTGCATGCCTCAGCAGCAATTTCTGGGGTTGTTTCAAATAAAGAATGTAATTTTATGAAAGCAATTTAAATTGCAGCTAACATATAACGCAACTTTGAAACACTAGGGAAAGGCATATTTGGGTGGCTTTGAAATAGCAAATAAAAATAAGAGATTTCCTAAGTTTATATCGTACGAAGCAATTTAGCTATCCGTACCTTGAATAAACAATTTACCTGGAGCACTTGGAAAAATATCAATTAAAACATAAAGAAGCACAAACTTCTAGGAGACAAGCACCTATACTCAGTCAAACTAAAAAAATCCAGGCAGGGTATGGTTTGTAGCAGTAACTGGAAAATACTAGAGAGCCCATCTCCAGAAAATCAGCAACTTTAGGGTTATCAGAGCTCTTGGCTTGAGGTTAGCATACTGTGACCGCAGACAGGGAGTCAGAAGTCATGTTTTGACACTCAGACTGCGAGCAAAGCATGCAGATTTGCAGAATAATTTTCTTCCATCAGCTCTTTGCCTCCTCTCACAAATGGTCTGGAGGGATAACACCCAGCCAGGGTCAGCAGGGAGCCCCAAGCAATTTCACTGAGCCTGCAAATTCCTGCAGGGCCGCAAAAACATGAGCTTTATGAGTCCAAGCGCACAGGAACAGAAGCACACGAAACAGAAGCTTTGCACACGCAGAGCCACAGGAGAGCCAATTCCAAGCACGCAGGTTTGGAGTTTTGCAGAGATTGCATCTCTGAGTCCTCACGGCAAAGTCTGTGTTTGCATGCACAGCACAGAAAGGGAGGAACAGCGTTACCTTTTCCAGAGCAGCCCACAGGATGGGACAGAGACAGGACTAGATTTTAGAATTACCTGGATACCAGACCTCCATTGAGGCCTCTGAATGATCCAGGTCATTAGAACAGGCCCAGGCACATTGTTATGGGGGTGTAGAACTGAGAAAAACAAAATTATTAGAGCAAATAGGGTAGGTGTTTTGCCTAGACAGGTCTTTAGCTCCTTGGCTCTTTACTTCCAACCGCTTCACCTCCAGCTCAAGAGGTGTCAGCAAACAGGCACTTTGCAGCCATGAGCAGAGTAAGCCTGCTTATACCTATATAAGCGAGAGACATATTATATTGCACATGCTTCTGCTTCACTCCATGCATCCCACCATGGCCCTGAAGAAGACAACCACTGTGCAGCTGCCTGCGTTAATCTAGTAATCTGGCATTTTGGATATCTGGCATTTGAGCCCCAAATTACATTCTCGGGGTTGAGCCTGGGTGCTGTGTTGCTAACCCAACAGGAGAGCAAGGTTTCCCATGCCGACACCACTCTGCCAGCGCCACATAACCACTGCACACCCTCTGCTTAGAGAGTTTTGAGATGATGCTTGTTACATTTAAGGATTATAGATTTGCAGGGACTCCACATTTCCCTTCCTATCTGAGATTTCTTAGTTTATAGCATAACCATAGGCTAACACCAATGAAACAAAACAAGCTCCCACAAGGCATATTTCTAAATTCTCATCATCTGGGATTTCTAAGACCCCTGAAGAAGTCTCTCTTGAATACTGAGAAATCCAGCGTGCAGATGCAAGGCTATGTTTCAATTTTTATATTGTGCTTGTAATGGTCAGTCAGCCTGTGGCCTTAAAAAAACACCTCTGAGATGGCTTCTGGCTGGACCAGCATAGGTTCCCATCATCACGATGCCCTCGCTACAACACACAGCTCAGACATCCTTTCACACGAGCCCATTCTCACGCACTGGGAACATAGGCTGAACCCCAGAATACGCACGTTAAAGTAAAATCAGCTTCAGTCCGTCCTGCTGCGCCGATGTGCAGGAAGCGCACGCGGCAGATGTGCCTGACCGCACCCAAGTTTTGACGGCCCTGTTAGAAACACCTCTGGCTCCGTTCATCCCATTTTCATGCAGCGTCTAAACAGAGTCTGGACAGCGACACCCTCAAGGTACCTATTCTTCTCCAGGACAACAAGGGGAGCAGCTTGTTACCAACTCATATGCAGATGACTAAAGTGCGGTGCAATGAAGCCTGCCGTGCCTGTGTTCAAAGAAACGAGGGAGCAGAGAGATGCCAGAAAGGATGAGCTCATTTTAAAAACAATTGAAAGCGCTTTTACAAAAATCAATACAAAGACCTAGCTGGATTCAGATGGGCAATGTGTCAGCAGCAAGACACCTCCTTACAGTCTGTGTACGCTGTTACTGCCCGTGTTGCGACCACCAGCCTTTTTGCCTTCTAACAGAAACAATGATATTTGCTTCATGCCAATGAGCGTGAAATAAAAATAGGCAACTTGCATGATCTTAGAAGGCACGTGCGCAGTTCTGTATGTGGAGAAACATGTTCCTGGGTTTACATTTTAAACACAATATTTAGCTTTCCAAATGCCGCCTTTTCCCAAGCAGGCCTCTGCTAAGGCTTCAAAGCACTCCTCTCTCTTCGTTATCAGTTTTTCCTCAGACTTTTACCTGAGGTTCCTTTTGATTTCTCCATGCCACCCAGCAGACCCTGCACCAGGAGGCTTTGGCCATAGCCTGGAGCACGACTGACTTCAAAAGCAGCCAAGGAATGGGCGCTCTGGGCACAGAGGAGTGGGGATGCAGAGACAACACCAAGCAGAAGCTACAGGCAGGCTGGGCCTCCTTGTGCCTTTTCCTGTAGAGGAAAGAGAGGCAGGGGAACACATAGAAGTATTTATTTTGATTAATTACCGAGAAGTGACCTCCTGAGCTAACTCCCATTCGGAGAGGTGCTGCTCCCCAGAGTTAGGCTTGCCAGCTGCCAGCTCTCCGCTGACGCAGTCTCAAGCTGGGAGCCGCATTCCTGAACTTCGCACCTACTTGTTCTTGTCCTTGCTGTAGGGTTTGCATTTCATGGCTTACTTTTTCCATTACACCCCATTCCCAGGTTTTGTTATGCCAGGAGATCAT